TCTTTAATGATGATTTTTATCAACTTTGTATATTTAAGTTCAGTAATTTCACTTAAATGGCAATGATAATTACCTATTAAATGTTATTTAAGTGAAATTACTGAACTTAAATATACAAGTTTGATAAAAATCATCATTAAAGAAGAAAATTTCAAATGGCATTTAGAGGCTTTTGCATCTGAACTCTTCATATATATATTTATATATAGGTCTCCAACTCAAGCTGATTGGATAGACATGTTGATTACTGATTGTCGACAGCTGGTTCATGGAATGATGTGATAATTGGCTCAATTATTTGAACGTGCTATCCAAACTTTGTTACAGCAAAAACATCATTTTTGGAGCATCGCACCACATGACATTTTACAACCTGCACTATCCTTGACTTGTGATTAAAAAAAGGTCAAATATCTGACATTTTAAGAAGCTTGACACCACATTCCTGAGGGTCCTTTTCCATTATACAATTTATTGATATTTCCAAAATGAATTTTAAAACAGAACTAAGTTTGAAAAAAAGCTCATTATTTTAAATTGCATTTTGAATCTATTAATCCATGATTGACCCTATTAGTATTATGAAGTATCATACGACTTCAGCCTGAAATGAGCATTGAAGGAGAAAAGTCTACATCCCACCTAATCTGACTGTAACCTCCTTTCCACCAAACTGAGCCACTATTCTCAGCCGGCCGGGGACATCACCGCAGGACTCATGAACACACACAGCAACGTCTCGTTGCATAACCAAAGCCCAATTGTTATTGAGCTCAACACTGAGGAATATGCTGAATGCCTCTTCTGAGCACCTTGCTTGTTTTCTGAAGGAGCAGCCCTCCTGCATTTCTATTGAGCCTTTCCCCATACAGTATATAATGGATTGGGACCTGGAGAACAAGGCCACAAACTAACACGTTCAGTGGAAATTCGCAGTGCAATGCATTTCCCATGCTCTGGTAAAGTCGTCACTCCTCATTCACTAATATAATCATACAAGCTGTGAGTTTACAGTATGGCATTTCTGTTTCCAATTGTTAAAAATCACAGCTTTATCAGAATGTTACGAAACTTGGTGACTTTTATGGCATTTGGTATGTGAACACACAACAAAATTGAGATCATGATCTGAGCAGGCTAAGGTCGTAAAAACTTTCAAAAATAGTTAGATAGTTCACTCTTTGGTCAAAAATGACCGACCATAGGAAATGAATGGGAAATTGACAAAAACACAAAAAGTCTGGGCATTTTTGTCTGTGCAAATCTACAAATCGGCCATGATGCAGAAAAAAAGACACTTTACTCACCCACACAAACACACTTTTTATACACATACACACCAATGAATTTTGACCGACCATAGGAAATGAATGGGAAATTGACGAACACCCCTACTCTCCACAAATCGGCCACAATGCAGAAAATAAAAATTCAATGATGAAAAACATAACATAATTAATATATGTAATATAATACATAATATAATTATGATTAAAATTGTTAAAATAATAAATATGTTTAAAAATAATAAATATGTTTAATAATAATAATAATATTAAAAAGCTGTGAATTATTTTTTTTTTAATTGCAATGTTACCTGTAACAAAATCTCTGTACTCAGGTTTGACTGTAGTAATAATGCAAAAACGTGTGCACTCAAATTTATTTACTTTTTTTATATATATAAAAAAATGTGGTAAAAAGTATTATTTGAGAATTTAAAAAATAATAATACATTCAAATCCACATCTTAAAAGTAAGTAATTTTGTCCAAAAACAACTAAAATTCATAGAGAGCTATACAGGCAAAGAAAAATTGTTTTAAATTATTTTTAATGTCAAAAATGGACCATAAATATTAATAAGTAACATTAAATTATCTCAGATCTACATTGCACATCATTTTTGTTACTCTGAAATTAATTATATTATATTGTTATATTATATTATACTACAAACTGAATGTGTGATTTGTATTTTTTTTTTTAATCCATCATCTAATTCATCACTGTGTCATTTTACATCAAGTCAGCATGTCAGGCATCCAAACCTGGCATGATACATCCCTGTGGTCTCGCTCTGGTGACACTGATCTAACACTGAAACACACAATGCAAAATATACGCATAACATACAGAAACACAGGCAGCTTGGGAATAGACGAGTGAGAGGGAGGAATAAAAAGGCAGAATCTGGGAGTAAAGACAGACAGATGGGCCTGGAGACGAGAGAGGAGGGCCAACTTGGCCCGTTGAAGTGTTTCTTATGTAATACCACACTCGTACTTGTGTGCCAAAGCTTTTTAGCATGTTTGTAAACCTGGCAGGTCTAAAGCACAGCTTTGAAATCAATATTTGAAATAAGTTTTCATCTGTCTTCTGTCCGAAGAAACACAGATAAATTGAACAAACACTTTCAGACAGAACTGAACCTGCCATGCCGTATCCATTTTATTGCAATTGCCTAATTGATTATCTTTAGTCTAAAACATCAACATTCTTGTGTGTGTGTGTGATTAAAAACTCAGTGTAAGTACGGTCAGCAACGTTTCCTTACAAAATATCAGTCTGGAAAAGTTTTAGACACAGCAAACGATTGACGATTTCAAGAATAACGACGTCATGTTTTAAGAGTAATTTCATAATTTGCCTTTTACGAGAATAGACTCATAATATTACAAGTTTAATGGTGTATTATTCTGAAAGATTGAAAATTACGAGAAACAGTCATTCCATTATGAGATTAAATTTGTAATGAAAATAACATTTTTCTCATAATTTACATTATAATTCTCATGTATTCGCATAATATAGCGACTTTAACCTCAATTTATTTTTGAAATGCTATGATTTGCTTAAATGTACTAAAAATCAGAATGGAAAATTATATATTTGCTTGTATAAGCAAATTGAAAAATATATAGTTTATGTCTATATATATATATATATATAATTGAATTGAATTCAATTTATTTGACAGGTTTACAAAACTGTACAAAGTATCCCATATACTTTAAAAACTGTTGAGGATAACGACACAATAAAGCCGATTGATTATTTCCATTGTGTTCCTCAATGTTATTAAAAAGCATGAAGGCATGTAAAAAGCAGACAAGGCAAAATAAACACAACAATCACATAATATACATCCAATATTTACCTATAATACCTACGATTTAGATGCCGCTAGAGGGCGCTACATTCAAAACAACAACAACGGCTTTGCTTGATGACGCCGTGGAGGAACGCGGAATGATGGGAACTGTTGTTTTCAACTCCACCGTGGATAAATCAGTCAGTACGGGAATCGAAAATTAGTTCTCATGGATGAGGTAAAGTTCGATTTCTATAAACGTTGCGTTTAATGACATGCTTGTTTTTCATTAAACTGAAACAACCGTAAGAAAAGTCAGGTTTAAAAGTAAATTAGTTATCACAGATGTTACTGTACGAGTCACTGGACGAAGTGACTTATTTTTGTCTCAAATCGTTGCTAATGGATCCTGACTTCGCCCTATGCTGCAATATGCATTAGTTTTGCATTCATTTACAGAAATCAGCTGCTTGAATAACAATAGCTGATGTTATTAGATTTTTCAGGTGAGATTCTCAATTGATTCGATGATGATCTGAGGTAAAGTTTTCAGAATGCAGACTCAGCAACGATTGTATTTAATTGTACAGTACAATAACATAGAACAGACGTTATCTTCCTTTCATGTCATTAAACATAACAATATTGCTGGCCATACACTGATGAGAATGATGGTGTTACCTGGAGTTGTCCCAAACGTGGCGCGGCGCTTCTCGTCCGTTGTGCGACCCCCTTTACAGCCAACAGTTCACATTCCGAGAATAAATGAAAAGAATAATTGTGCTCCATTCCATAACAAATGCGCGAAACAAGCTGACGTTTGTTGCTTGATAGACGCTAACGCACAACTACAACTTCCGCATTTGTTTAGGACTACACGTAGTACGAGCGGAAACCGAGGTATGACGCGATTGACTGGCGACTCCCAGCTCACCCCTGCTCACACGCCCCGTTTCCTTGGTGAAAATCTAAATTTTCTCGCGATTTAAACATTGTTTGAAACATTTGGAATATTGTAAGTTATCATCTTAACTAAATATATAACACTGGCCTTGTGATTTTGGGATATTTTAATGCAAAAATCTTAGGTATTCCACCTTTAAAACACAAAAATCCTAACTATAATCACCTAAGTCACCAAGATAAAATGAATTAAATACAAAGCTGTGTTTTTTGGGCTTGTTAAGGCACCAGAGAAAGCTTTTGAGCAGTTTATTAAATGTAATTGGATGGGATATCCCGTAGAGGAGCGGTATCGACCCGATCAGGTGTTTTACCACACACAGTGTTTGCAGTGGCAGCGTCCCAATGACTGTCTGTCAGCATCGGCCACTGCTGTTTGATTACAGTGTGCCACATGTATCAGTCAACACACGCTGAGACACACATGTGTATATGTGTGTTTGGGGCAGAGAGGAAGTATCAGGTGTGGGTTTGGTTAACAGAGGCCTTTTCCTCTGTCAGTACGCACCTAAAGAGCGGTCTCGGGACCCGGGGGCATCAGGCGCTGAAAGGTCGGACTCTGTCCCAACACATGTGAAGAGGGTTCAATGCAGTCATACATGAGAGAGAGAGAGCAATGCAGACAAGATGATTCTTTCTGTTTTTATCTATTGATTTAATCTTAAAGCTGTAAAGCCTGACATATGAAATAATACACTGTGTGTGTGTGTGTGTGTATATATATGTATACGATATATATATATATATATATATATATATATACATACTGTAGAATTATACGTTCTGTTTATTTTTTTTTAAATAAAGAATTTTGTTATAAATACATAGATTTGCATATCATTTTTAATAATTCATACTTTTATACCTCACATTTTATGATATGAGAATGTTAAGCTTATACACGAGTTGGAAAAAAGGCCCAAACCGAGAAAAAATATGCAATTTTGTGCAGATGCTGATATTTATATGGCCCAAAAGTAAGATGAGATACTGGTGCTTGTAATGTAAAACAATAAGATCTTTCAGATACTTTCATAAATTTCATAAACATCTATCTGCCAATAAAATAGTAAGATGATATTTAAATGCTAGTTTTATGATCAAAACTCTGCCGTTTTAATAGTGCAATGCAATGATTATAGAGGCAATAACAAAGAACCCTAATGCATCATTTGATATTTTAGTCTTATTTTTTCTGAAACATGCATGTATGGTCCAGTCCATTAAATGTTCATCCTGAAATATTGCTAACAATATAAAAGTTATTATTTTTACTTTAAAAATCAGTGAAGATTTCACAGCAAAAAATACCTCACGAGCTGAAGCAGGACAGTTTTACAATTATGACTTTTACTTGCTAAAAACAAAGTCTAAGCTATTCATCAGAAGTAGATTTTGTGCAACACGTTTATCAGCAACGTTTTGTTCATTTTGATTATTTCCATATCAGCATAACCATAATTATATTCATACATTTTCACCGCTTGACAAATCTCCAAGCACCTAAACCATGGTAAATAAATATTCATAAGGTTTAAATAGCGATATACATGAGAGCTCTGGAAATCTGCAGTCTACAAATATCCTCAAGTTTATCAAGTTCTTTGAGAGATGCAGTATATACTCATTAAATCCTTTTAAATACAGCGTTCAAGCCAATGAAATATCCAAGAAAAACACGAACCCCTAAATATGTGGTTATGATCTAGAAGGATGACTACATCTCTGGTTTGGTCTGTTTAAATGTTAGATATTCCAAACACACACTTGGCAGATAAACGCAATCCCTCCGGCTCATACTGTAATTTACAGACGAGTTTCTACGGCCGTTAAGAGAACAGATCATCTTACTGTAAAAAGCTGATTCAATGCATTCACCGTCTTAGATGTCAAGAGAAAGTCTAAATGTGTGTGTCTTTGTGTTTTAGGTGTAATATCTGGCCAAAATCAGACACTTTTTTTTGATAGTCTAGATGTTGTACGAGTAACTTTGCAACTAACTGTCATTACAGTATTGGCACTGTTTAGGATACAGTTAGAAAGTTGGGTAACACTTTACTTGAGGGGGTGTGCATAAGACTGACATGACACCTTCATAACCACGACATGACATATTATGAATATGAAGTGCATGTTTATGACAACTGTCATTAAGTGTCTTCCGCTCAATAATGACATTTTTAATGCAAATATGACATCTTTGTTATGACATCTTGACATAAATGAAGTTAATCTGTCATGTTGTTGGCTTTGACATTGGCTGTCATGAGGCATTATAACTGTGTCATGAATATTTTTCGTGAGCTCAACTACAGTGGTACTAATTAAATTTGTCTTTAAAAAGTTATAGACAGCCAATGTCGAAACCAACCAGCTGACAGTTTAATGTAATGTTAACCAATAAAGCTAGGTGCTTTCTTAAGTTTGATCATTAATCATGTTTATGACAGGTGTTGTCTTAGTAATGTCAAATTGTCATGATAGGTTATGATGTATTGGTTTATGTCAAGGTGTCAATCAATGTCATATTTGCATTCAAAATGTCATAACTGAGTGAATGACAGTTGTCACAAACATGCATAAAACTTCCTTCATATTCAACACATATGTCATGATTATGAAGGTGTCATGTCAGTCTTATGCACACCCCTTCAAGTAAAGTGTTACCGAAAGTTGATATTATGCACATATTGGTTAAGTCACTCATAGTCTGTCGAATGTATGTTGTTGGGGAGCATCAAAATAAAGTGTTAGCAGATATTAAAAAGACCGTACTAATACTCTAATGTACGGAGCCCCTCTAGTCCCACTTTGGTTAAAAAAATAATTATAACTATCTTGTGGCCTCAAGATAGTAACTCGTGGCCTCAAGATACTAACTCGTGGCCTCAAGATAGTAACTCGTGGCGAGTTACTATCTTGAGGCCACGAGTTACTATCTTGAGGCCACGAGTTACTATCTTGAGGCCACGAGTTACTATCTTGAGGCCACGAGTTACTATCTTGTGGCCACGAGTTACTATCTTGTGGCCACGAGTTATTATCTTGTGGCCACGAGTTACAATCTTGTGGCCACGAGTTACTATCTTGTGGCCACGAGTTACTATCTTGTGGCCACGAGTTACTATCTTGTGGCCACGAGTTACTATCTTGTGGCCACGAGTTACTATCTTGAGGCCACGAGTTAGTATCTTGAGGCCACGAGTTACTATCTTGAGGCCACGAGTTACTATCTTGAGGCCACGAGTTACTATCTTGTGGCCACGAGTTACTATCTTGAGGCCACGAGTTACTATCTTGTGGCCACGAGTTACTATCTTGTGGCCACGAGTTACTATCTTGAGGCCACGAGTTACTATCTTGAGGCCACGAGTTACTATCTTGAGGCCACGAGTTACTATCTTGAGGCCACGAGTTACTATCTTGAGGCCACGAGTTACTATCTTGTGGCCACGAGTTACTATCTTGTGGCCACGAGTTACTATCTTGAGGCCACGAGTTACTATCTTGAGGCCACGAGTTACTATCTTGAGGTCACGAGTTACTATCTTGTGGCCACGAGTTACTATCTTGAGGCCACGTATTACTATCTTGAGGCCACGAGTTACTATCTTGTGGCCACGAGTTACTATCTTGAGGCCACGAGTTACTATCTTGAGGCCACGAGTTACTATCTTGTGGCCACGAGTTACTATCTTGAGGCCACGAGTTACTATCTTGTGGCCACGAGTTACTATCTTGAGGCCACGAGTTACTATCTTGAGGCCACGAGTTACTATCTTGTGGCCACGAGTTACTATCTTGTGGCCACGAGTTACTATCTTGAGGCCACGAGTTACTATCTTGAGGCCACGAGTTACTATCTTGTGGCCACGAGTTACTATCTTGAGGCCACGAGTTACTATCTTGAGGCCACGAGTTACTATCTTGAGGCCACGAGTTACTATCTTGTGGCCACGAGTTACTATCTTGAGGCCACGTGTTACTATCTTGAGGCCACGAGTTACTATCTTGTGGCCACGAGTTACTATCTTGAGAACACGAGTTACTATCTTGAGGCCACGAGTTACTATCTTGAGGCCACGAGTTACTATCTTGTGGCCACGAGTTACTATCTTGAGGCCACGAGTTACTATCTTGTGGCCACGAGTTACTATCTTGTGGCCACGAGTTACTATCTTGAGGCCACGAGTTACTATCTTGAGGCCACGAGTTACTATCTTGAGGCCACGTATTACTATCTTGAGGCCACGAGTTACTATCTTGTGGCCACGAGTTACTATCTTGAGGCCACGAGTTACTATCTTGAGGCCACGAGTTACTATCTTGTGGCCACGAGTTACTATCTTGAGGCCACGAGTTACTATCTTGTGGCCACGAGTTACTATCTTGAGGCCACGAGTTACTATCTTGTGGCCACGAGTTACTATCTTGAGGCCACGAGTTACTATCTTGAGGCCACGAGTTACTATCTTGTGGCCACGAGTTACTATCTTGAGGCCACGAGTTACTATCTTGTGGCCACGAGTTACTATCTTGAGGCCACGAGTTACTATCTTGAGGCCACGAGTTACTATCTTGTGGCCACGTGTTACTATCTTGAGGCCACGAGTTACTATCTTGAGGCCACGAGTTACTATCTTGAGGCCACGAGTTACTATCTTGTGGCCACGAGTTACTATCTTGAGGCCACGAGTTACTATCTTGAGGCCACGAGTTACTATCTTGAGGCCACGAGTTACTATCTTGAGGCCACGAGT